GGTCTAAAACAAAGATAAAGGAAAATGGGAAAGCTATATGATTCAAACACAAGCCAGAAGGAAACTGGTATAGCTATGTTAATATCAGAGTAGAAACTTTTATGCAAAGGACCATATTATTAGTGATAATAAGAAAACTTCATAATGTTAAATGTACCTAATACCATAGTCTCAAAATAATAAATCATACCAAGAATTTAACAAATTTACTGTCATCATAGTGTAAGGGGGGTCCGGCGAAACGTCGGAGGGAGAGACCGCCCAAGAGACTGACTCCATGCAATTGGCAATAGGGGATTTATTGAGGATCCATTCCAGCGCACTGGGACTCTGTGCTCACTCAAGAAGGGAGAGCAGCCCAGAGCCCCGAACAGAGGTCAGGTGGAGCTTAAGTACACTTTGTGGAGAGGGCGGTGGGCTTAGCATACATCAGAACAAATCATCATGAGGCGCGGGGAAATTGAACAATTCTGAAACGTGATTAGTACATACATTGGCGGGAACAATCAGGGCAGGGGTGATTGGTTGTTTCTAAGCGGGGTACACATTTAAACTGATTGGTTTAGGTCCTGCAATGCCTACGTGCCAAGCAACTTAGAACCCTTAGCTATTAAACAACCAGAAAGTCAGTGGAAATATTTACTGGGCAGTTCCAGCATTGTCCTAACAACTTTACAGAGATTACAGGTTCCGGGGATAGCAGAAGAATTTTAACAATACCTAGTCTTTACTTTTTAGCCCAGGCCTTGCCATTTAGAAGCTTTACAATGCCCGGTCTTTTACACTTTAACTCAGACTTTTGCAGCTTAGAATCAGCTTAGAAATTTTACCTTTACAATAGGAGATCTTAACATATCTCTCTGATAGAACCAGTAGACAAAAGTTCAGTAAGGCTACCTAAGTTTGGTATTGCAAGAATGCAAAGTTGTTTAACAACAAAAGAAAAACATCAATATAGTTCATTACATTAACAGAATAAGAGAGTCATATGATCCTCATCATAAATGTAGGAAAAACATTTGGTAAAATCAACATCATTCATAATTTTAAAAATCTTTTAAACTTTGCTAAGAAAGGAACTTTCTTAATCTATTAAATGGTGTCTACAAAACAACTTAACAGGCAGTACATGCGTGTAATCCCAGTGGCTTGGGAAGCTGAGGCAGTAGAATCAAGAGTTCAAAGCTAGCCTTAGCAACGGTGAGGTGCTAAGCAACTCAGTGAGACCCTGTGTCTACATAAAATAGGGCTGGGGATGTGGCTCAGTGATCGAGCGCCCCAAGTTAATCCCAGTATTCCCTCCCCCCCCCAAAAAAAGCACAATTTAACAAAAATCCTACTCTTGTGAATGTTGAAGCCTTTTCCTTTGAGTTCAGGAAAAAGATAAGTATGTTTGATGTTACTTCACATGGTATTAAAAGTTCTTGTTAGTATGATAAGGCAGGAAAAAGAAAGAAAAGATGTAAGATACTTGAAAAGGAGGAATAAACAGTTACTATTTATGATATGATTGCATATACTTTTAAAATCCAGAATAATTAGATATTAGAAAGGCCTCTGGATATAGGACCAATTTTTATTCACAGATTTATTTTCTGTATATACAATAAAGAAAAGAAAATGAAAAAACATACCATTTTCAGTATAATAAAATATCATGTACATACAAATCTAAGGATGTGTAAGCTTTTCAGAAAACTATAAAACATTGAGAGACATTTAAAAATCCTGAAATAATTGGAGGGATATGTTATATTCATGCATAGGAAGAAATGTATTAATATTAGTACTCCCCAAAGTGAGCCATAGATTTAGTATAGTTCCAATCAATTCCCAATATGTATGTATATGTGAGTTAATAATCTTACTCTAAAAATTTACAGGGAAATATAAAGGACCAAGATCAAACAAGACAAGGTAGAGCTTGCCCTGTTGTATATCAAGACTTATACAAAGTGTAAGACTGGAAAAYGCCTCACCACACCGCACCACACAACACAGATTACCAAAGAGGTTTTCCCCTTTATTACAAAAGGCTGTGTGTTTATATAGGTCTAAGGAGAGGTCGCAGGACTGAGGTAGATAACAGGTCGCCCATTTATTGGCAAGCTCTCCCTTATGTCAGTTCTGGAGCCCAAGAAGTTAATTCTAATTGGGGCTAAGGCTTCCCACCAGCAGGATTTGAACATTGGCACACAGAAGGCTTCATGCCAATGAAAGAAACAAAGAGGAGAAAGAGGGTCRTTAGAGCCCATGCTAGGGTTTTTCTCTGGGGTGCTGCTGCTATTATATGTTTTCCCAACACAATGTCCCATTAATTAATTAATTATCATTAGCTCTAGGTAAGACACATCAGTGGAATAGTTAGTATAGAGTCCAAAATTAGATAGATTTAGAAATTATAATATAGAAACTTGCTCTATGATAAAAGTTATAAAAGAATTATGTACTTCTTGAGAGAAATCCAAAAGTTAATTGAACATATGAAAAGATGCTAAACTCATTAATAATTAAGAAAACACGGGGCTGGGGATGTGGCTCAAGCAGTAGCGCGCTCACCTGGCATGCGTGTGGCCTGGGTTCGATCCTCAGCACCACATACAAACAAAGATGTTGTGTCCACCGAAAACTAAAAARAATAAATATTAAAATTCTTAAAAAAAAAAAAAGAAAACACTAAAGTACGTTGCTACCACATATTCTCCAAAACAGCTAGAATTTAAAAACTGACAGTATGAGGTATTGTAGAATGGGGTAGCAGTAGCCTCTTACACTGCTGAAAAGAGCATACATTGGTATAGTTACTTTTGGAACAGTTTGGCATCATCTTCTAAAGCTGAAACTGTCATTAATCAGACTGTTCTCTTCGTAATGTATATTCACAATATATATTATTCCCTTCACTTCAAAAAGCCATCATAATACTCATATTTAGAGTTTCCTACCTCGGTGGTGAAAATATAAAGAAAACAAGGAAATGCTTATTTTATATACATACACACAATATAATATATAATATTATATATATATTTTAAAAATTGTAGATGGACAGCATGCCTTTATTTAATTTTTAATTTTTTTAAAGAAAARTTTATCTTTGAGGAGGAGGTAAACAAGGACAAAAGAGTCCAAAGTGGAAGAGTCCTGAGGTGCAGGCGTGTTTTATTTCTTTTATGGAGTTATATGACTGTTTAAATTACTAAGTTATACAGTTTTGTGCATACCTTTTTTTCTGTATGCTTAATATCACACAATTTTTAAAATATTTAAAAATGTACATAGAATTTTGTGCAAAAAGGTCAAATGAGACAAATTTCATTTGTTTGGTTTTTTAAAGTATGTTAATTGACATACTTGCAAAGTGTTGTATGCATAAGTAACACTTGAGTGTTTAATGACTAACGTCTTTGTKAGTCATTAAAGCTCAGGAAATAGTAAATCTCTTCCTTTATAAAGTAACCAGTATTTATCAGTAGGTAATTTTGGGCAGTCAGCCTCACTTTCAACAGTTAGGCTGGGCTGTAAATATGACCATKCAAGACTGAAAACTGTCTTTATTTGTGAGAAAACTATAATTGTTCATGCTCTTTAAATCTTTTTATCAAAACATTAAAAACTCTTGGTAAGATGTATAAGGACAGTGTTGAAAAATAAAACGATTAGTACAGTGTAATTTACAACTTTAGAAACAATATTGGGTTTTTGTTGTTTAAAAACAAAAAAAGAACACTTTGAACAGTGTTTGTCTTGTGTAACTTAAAAGAGCCACAGCTAACAGAGCTCAAACATCTTTTCTGTGTCTTGGCAAATTATAACACTCCCTTTCTACTAAATTTGGATCCACTTCCAKCATTTTATCTTTTGTACTTTCAGTGCAGTGAAATAACTCTCAGAGTCCCTTTAATTTTTCCCAGCATCCCTTCCTGGGACATATTTCTTATTTTTGTCAAAACTACATTCCTCACTTGTAAGTTTGCCTTCCCTAAGTTCCTCTGGCTGTGTATCTAGATTTTCATACTAAATGTTGTATGTTGTAGTAGCAACATTTCCACAGTCAGCTCTTCCACTTACATTGGATTTGAATTTCATTTCCAGTGTTATCAATTTTTGGTTGTTTTCTGCTCTTTTGTCTCTATTAGCAAATTCCCACTTTCTACTATTCATTTTGTAAAATTTCATATTGGTTTAGCAGTGGGAAGCAAGAAGTCAAYACAGGTATTGGCTTTGCTGTCTGTGGAATTGAGTAACAACACATGGAGTCTTACCAAATCAACTGACTTGGAAAGATGACTACTGATTGTGATGCACATCTCATATTAACAGTGATTTGTTGACTAGAATGTTAGCARTGAAGTTTGTATTTATGCAGTTATAGTTAATAGATGTGATAGTGAAATTTGAACCATGTTGCTGGGAGATTGCTGTTTAAATTAACTTTGGTTGCTGAAATTGGTGCACATGAGAAGCATACAAAGTGAAGACAACCTCTAATTCAAAGATGGATTTTTGGTCAGTTAAAATTTTGGCAAKTTTGATGAGATTTTTGGTGCTAGGCTGCTTGAACTATTTGATCTCTGACTTGATGAACACCTGATGTGTTTTATATGAAATTATAAATTTGATAGTACTCTCCTAGCTTTTTACGATTCTTAGGTAATTTCTTAGAAAGGCTCTCTGGACACCAACTTTGTAAAACAAAACCAGTATATATAGTAAATAGAAACAATGGTTTTAGGAGAATAATAGGGATGGCGATTGTAAATTCACCATGATGTAGCATCTGATATTGAAAGTAAGTTTTTAAAAAATGTTTTATGTCATATTGATGTTCTAATAATTGAAAATAAACCAAAGCTAATAATAAGTTAGATTCTTKTAATCAGATGACTATTTTCATTGTCTTCATACAAGCATATAACTTTATTCTTAATTATGACAGAGTCTTATTCTGTGTTGGTTGAAGTTGAATAATGTTAATTTCTTTTTTTGATTTCCTACAGGTGAACTAGCACAGAGGTTTATCTCAAGATGCCGTTAGTGAAAAGAAACATCGATCCTAGGCACTTGTGCCACACAGCACTGCCTAGAGGCATTAAGAATGAACTGGAATGTGTAACCAATATTTCTTTGGCAAATATAATTAGACAGCTAAGTAGCCTAAGTAAGTTTTATATCTATTAAAAAAATTACTTGCAAACCATAATTTTATGCTTTAGACTATTAAGAAGATATGCTTGCAGTTAATTTGGGGGAGGATATTTGATAGAGTATATAGTTATCCTGAAAAACGTAGTCATTTTAAGTAAAATTAATGAGCTTTAGAATCATTTCTTCTTCCCCTGCATGTCCCCCCACCATCCCACCCCCCAAGAAAGGGAAATAAGGGCAGAATCTCTGGAACACAATCACATGATGGATGAGAATTATTAAAATCTCTTAAAAATATGATTCAGTGTAAGACCAGAGTAGTACTCTTGCTTGATTGTTACCTATATTAGTTTTAGAAGTTTCAGCTRTCTGTGTTTGGGGACACCAGTATCTCTTTCTTTCCTAAAATGTTTTCATATTATCAAAGATCTAAAGTGAAAGGATTAGACTAATCAAATGAGTTTTGTCTAAGGGACATTAAAATGAGAGTCAAGAGTCTGATATACAGAAAAATGTGAAAACAGCAAGTAATTTGGCTGCTGGCAGATAGAAGGCAAACCGATTAGCCAGAGAAAGGCCTAYAGAAAGAGTATGTAGTGGAAAAGGAGACATGCAGTATGTTCCCATTTTAAGATTATAGAACAGAAACTGGACATGATGGCACAAGCCTGTAATCCTAGGAACTCTGGAGGCTGAAGCAGGAGGATCCAAGTTTGAGGCCATCCTCAGCAACTTAACAAGTTCCTGAGCAACTTAGTGAGACCTTGTCTCAAAAAATAAAAAGGACTGGGGCTGGGGTAGTGGCTCTGTGGAAGAGTGTTCGCCTAGCACATACGAAGCCCTGGATTTGATCCCCAGCACCACATAAATAAACAAACAAATAAAAAAAAATAAATAAGGAGTTAGATCATTAAATAAATAAATAAATAAATAAAAAGGACTAGGAATGTGGTATAGCACCATTGGTTTCAATCCCTAGTACCAAAAAAAAAAAGAAAAAAAAAAAAAAGAAAAGAGCAAGAGAAAAATATTATAGATCAGAGCTAGTCAAGGGATTATTTCCCATTCTAAATTTAATCATGTAGAAAAATTTAAAGCTAAAACAAATTTATTTTTGAATTAAAGAATTAGCTTTTTAATAAGACACCTATACTTCATTTCAAATACATAACAMGATATACCTGACCTAAACATTCTACAAGGAGTCCTAGATTTATCATGTCTGTCATACTCATCAGCATAGACTCTTTAATAATAAGGGTTGGCCTGTATTTTCCATTTCTTTTAACTTTTGTCTTCCCTTTATATAACTTGAGTAGTGTCATCCCTTGGTATTTCTGGGAGATTGGTTCCAGAACCCCCCTTGGATACCAAAATCCATAGATGCCCAAGTCCTTTATGTTTGCATGGAACCTACACATATCCTCCTATATGTTGCACTTTAAATCATCTTTAGATTACTTAACAGGACTGTAAATGCTTATTTAAATAAATATTTGTTATACTGTATTATTTAGAATAAAATGAAAAGAAAAAAGTCTGTATGTGGCTTTTTTTGGCCTAGCATTGATTGATCTAATGTTCAATACAGATGGAGGTTTTTTTCCCAAATATTTTCTTTCCAAAATTTGTTGAATCTGCGAATTGAACACAGAATCTGCAGGGCCAAATGTACTTAGCACAAGATAAAGAGAGATGGTTAATCTAATTTGTTTCAGGTGAGAGAGTTTGGTCATATATCCTTGTAGCTAAAACATCATAAAACATTATGAAAGTACTCCTCATCTTATTATGTTCCAGTAAACCCATCATAAGTTGAAAATGCCTTTACAAAAATGTATTTAACTGCCATCTGTGTTGGTGCAGGCCTGTAATCCCAGTATCTTGGGAGGCTGAGGCAGGAGGATCTCGAGTTTAGACCCAGCCTCAGCATCTTAGGTCCCAGCAAGACCCTGTGTGAAAATAAAATATAAAGGGCTGAGGATATGGCTCAGTGGTTAAGCACCCTTGGGTTCAATCCCTGGAACAACAACAAAAAAAATATTTAACTTACCTATCCTACCCAACATTATAGCTTAGCAACATAGTACACTATAGAGCATCACATGGCTCATCAGCATGTGACTGGGAGCTGCGGCTCACTGCCACTGCCCAGAATTACGAGAAAGTATTGTGCCACATATCACTAGCCCAAGAAAAGATCACACTTCAAATTTCCAACTATGATTTCTATTGAATACATGTCACTTTGTAAAGTTAAAAAATTGTTAAACTATCATAAGTTGGAGAATTCTGTATTTGATTGTTTTTTGTGAGAATACCAAATTTTTGCATTAAAGCTAAAACAAATGTGAAATACTTGTAAGAATAAATAACAGGCTATTTTTTAAATTTGTTTTAATTATATTCCTTGTTCCTGTTGGTGGTTATTTTTTCAGGTTAGTTATTGGCAGTGAACCACTAAGATATTGTATTGTGTGATTCTTTACCAGGAAAGCCAATATGTAGTATACCTCTTTTTCTTTTCTTTTTTCTTTCTTTCTTTTTTTTTTGACTAGTACATTTTAGTTATACAAATAATAGATTTCATTGTGGGTGTATTTATACATGCATATAATGTGGTTGTTACTTTTGAGACTAATCAAAAGAAAGTCTTCTGTTGACTCARATATTACATAACATTATAATTAACCATATTGTTTAAAGATATTTTGCTGACTTTTTTGTGGCCTAGCATTGATTGATCTAATATAACGTGACTTTATATAAAATATGTGTTAATGTGTGAGTGCATCAGCTTGTTAGAAACATGTTAAGAGCATAAAAACAACCTAAGTAACTTTAGACAAAACATTTTTTAAACAAAATTGAAATGAATTTTCAGTCTAACACAGGTAGGTATCTTGCTTTATATATATACCTAATATAGAATCTAGAATTAATGTGACTGTGTGTTAATTTGCAATAATTAACATTTATTATATAATCTAAAGATGACAAGACAACATAAGGAATTTTCAAGCCTAATGGAGTCCATATAAGCAACATCTGTCAGTAAGCTAACCAAATCTGGAAAAATAAACATATTGTAAAAATAAACGTAAGTTACATTTGGGAATATTCATATTTGGAATTAGAGGCCATATAGATGTTTTCTAACAGTTTATAAAAATTCGAAAACAAGATAAACCTATAAGGTATTGTAGCAAGGTGTAACAGTATTTTTTTTAATTACTCTGAAATTAATTTTTCTGGCAGTTTTTCCACTTGACATAGTTGAGAACCTGGAATTAAATCTAAAAGGCCTCTATATAGCCAGAATAAATAAGCCCACACAGTAAAGATAAAAATAACCAATTGATCCCACTCTCAGAGTGTGTTTACTTTTGCTTTGATAGTTCAGACAGATTTGATGATGTTATTTCCAAATATTTATGCTTCAGAAAATTAAAAGWGGAGGTAGAGGGAGCAGCACATAATAATAGAATAAGGCATCACAGAAGCCAACCAAAAAWGGTAGTTTACAGCAAGGGAGGAATTGACCAAAAAAGCAATATAAAAACTGGAAAAAGGCCATTTAATGTAAAAGCAAATATTCTTCTTCATTTCAAGGCTGTTTTCTGGCCTGGGTTTAAAAATAATTAAAAATAATTGATTTTTATAATTAATTCATGGCCATGAGTCTCAACAAAGGGGAAAATTTCATTTTGTATCCATTTAAGAAGACAAGGAAACTCAATACATTTCATAACAATTTTTATCCAAAGTAGTTATAATAATTAATGAATTTAATAATCTCTGAATTACTTAGAAAAATTAGCAATCTAAAATGATTGTAAGTAATTGAAGTATTCACTTCAGTACCACTGTTTGCACCAAAAGTTCTTCAGAATACRGTAATGAAAATAAACTATAGGCTTTCATATGGTTTAGGGCAAGACACTCTCAGCCAGATATTCTTGTCACTTTGTAAAAGTGTACATCCCAGTATTTTATGAGATTTTTCCTATTAGAACATAATTTTGCTTTTTAACAGATGATTATTGAAAACCTAAGATCCACTTAATGTAAATTTCCTCTTCCCCATTTATTGTTATCTTAACCATTTGGACTGTATATCAGAAAGTTTTTACTCTTCTTCCTATGGCTTTTCTCTTGTTGAATATAGTCAGTTTATGCTGCCAAGATGAAGTATAAAGTCTATTTATTGCTTTCAATTATAGATAATTTGGCAGATAGTATCTGTAACAAAGTATCTGAATGTGGGCACTTATGAAGAAAAGAGGTTTATTTCATAGTATCAAAGGCCGAAAGTACAAGATAAGTGACTTCATCTATTCAGCCTCTGAAAAGGGCCCTCTTTACTGGGACTCAGCATGATTGAGAAATACTGTAGAAAGGGAACAAGTTGAATGCAGAAGAAGCCAAGTGGTTTCACTTTATAATATCCTATTTTCTCTAGAATTAACCCACTCTGTGAGACATAGTATTAATTCCTTCTGAGAGTGTTGCCCACATGACCTAATTGTCTTGCACTAGACCCCACCTCTTAAATGTTTCAGGTTACCATACTGAGGACTAAGCTTCTAGCATATGGGGGACAATTCATATCTAAACCACKGCATATAGATAGGTCATAAACTGGAAGGGTAGAAGGATTGATAACACAAATTAGATTGGTAGACATTAGACGGATATTAGTGAATTACTTCATTGTATTATAAAGCTGCACGGTTCTTATTCTAGAAGAATTTATCTCATTTGGAAAATTTGAAGAATCCCAACTAAGTATAGAATACAGAAACCATTCTGAATAGTATGAGCAGATGTTAACATCATGAATTTTAAATTACAGAACTTWTAGAAAAGAGATAGTCATAGGTGAAATTATTAAGGGAGGCTTACTGAATGAAAGGTGAATTGGGCCCTTAAGGACCAAATGRATTTTAAAAGAATAGGGAAGGAAGGCATTTCAGCATGCATGACCTAGGTAAACAAATAGAGGCAAAAATAAATAATACGTATATAGGGGGATTAAAAAGACAACTGATACTAGGTAAGTGTGGTGGAACCTGATAATGGAGGATGTAGATGAGGGGATTTAGGTTTAAATTCAYAGATAATGAGATACAGGTTCTTGAGTAGAGAAGTGGTATAATGTAAGAGTTGAAATTCAGATGTGCACACAGTTGTTATTTCTCTGGGAGGGGAGGCAGAGTTAAATTTAAAAAGAATGAATGGGATATCTGCTAAACTGGCATTTAAATGTGGAAGAGGGGCTGTCATAGACTTTTTCTTTAATTATTAAAAAGCTCCAGAAAAATGCAAATGCATTATAAATATGCATATAAATTCAGGTGATATACAGATTAAAATTTAAGATTCCCTGTGTTCAMCTAGGTTCTTGAACACCATTCCACTCCCAAAAGTTAGGTGCTTTCTGCTGTGTGGTTTTTACCTGTTGTTGAGCTCCAAATCTGTATCAAGTATACCACCAGGCCCTTTGCTCTCTTCCTATAACTTCCTTTTGAGACATATATTTTTATTCCTATTTTACAGATGAGAAATTTGATATCAAGGTCTCACAGTGATTTGAATTTAATTGTTTATTAAATTGCTTTTCATATTTATTTAAATGTCTGTTTCTCCCTCTGTTCAAAATTTACCAAAGGTAGAAACCTTCTTCTAGCTATTTTGGCTTGCTTTTTTTAATAAGAGGAATTTACATAGCTAGAGAAATACATGGTTTTTAAATTTTTKATGATTTTTAAAGAAATTATAATAAGAATGCAGAGTATCACTCTTAAGTTTTCTGAAGCTCTGTCTTGGGTCTTAGACATATTTGAGACAGGGCATCCAGTAGGCCTATGAAGACTCTTGCATTCTGTCACCTGGCCTGAAATTCAGTAGAGACTAGTGTAGAGTCTATGTATAAATGCTGATTTGGGATTAAAAGAAAAATTGTTTGCGGCTGGGGCTGTAACTCAGTKGCAGAGCGTTTGCCTAGCATGCATGAGGCATTGGGTTCAATCCTCAGCACCACATAAAAATAAACAAAATAAAGGCATTCTGTCCATCTTCAACTACAAACAAAATTTTTAAAAAAGAAGAAATATTGTTTGTATGTACTTTTACATCATAATCTCCCCTGACCCTCATTAGATAGCTAGATATTGGTAAAGTAAGTTGAATATTTCCACTTTAGGCACAAGTCATTGAGCAAAAGGTGGTAGAGCAGGATTTAAAATCAGATTTCCCAGAGTTCGTGTGTCTATTTTTCCACTCTGTCATGACTTAGTGCCTGTAGGGTAGGATTAAAGTTTAAAATATTTCCAAATAAATGACAAATTTAACAGGACTGTACTTTATTTGTTCAGTATTTATCTCCATGATCATGATCACATTAAATCTTATGAAATATGTTTCATTTTTTGCTTAGGTAAATATGCTGAAGATATATTTGGAGAATTATTCAATGAAGCACATAGTTTTTCCTTCAGAGTTAACTCACTGCAAGAACGTGTGGACCGTTTATCTGTTAGTGTTACACAGCTTGATCCTAAAGAAGAAGAATGTAAGTTTATTCATATCTTCTTCCATGTATATATTTTAGTTAGATGAGTATATTTAAGAATGGTATTAAACATGAATTTATTATAAGTCTTTTTTACCTGTTTTAATACATGTTATAGTCAATCAGGATATTATCTATAAATGCCATCAATGTGAATCTCCTGGCGTTTTATTTCTACATGTYTTTGTTTTAATCTCTTTATTTCGTATACTACTTAGCTCTTAACTTTTTGACATGAAGAAGACATTTTAACCAGACCTTTTCTTCYATTCTTTCTGTTTCCTTCCTTATAATTTATTTGTGTACTTTTGTCTTAGAAATAAAAAGTATTTGAAAAGTATCTGAAATCCTAAGGTTTGATTCTGTAAGAATGTGGAGCCTTTTAATATGCTTTTGTGTGCTTATGGCTAGTCTTGTCTGCTTATTTTAATTAAATATTACTACCACTTTAAATGAACATTTCAAAAACAAATTGCCAGTATGTAGGGTGGAAGTGTTCTATGCCAAGATTAAATCAGGGATATCAGGTTGGGAAAAAAAAACCCACACTACTGGATAAAATTATGGAAGAAACTGTAGTGGTAAAAGCACATTTCATGCCTTGACAGAATATCTCTGTATTTTTTATTCTTAAAAAGAAATGGAACTACTAAGAATATAATTTTCACTTATCTACTGCTATGGTATAAAGCATTTGTATACTTAAAGCCATATTAAATATATGAAATGACCTACTTTTTAAATATAAGGAAGTCACTCTGAGTGTTAATAACGTAGCATTTCAATATATTCTTTATTTTACCATGCTACACATGTTAATTCAAAAGAAAATGAGTAAATGAAATTATTTTAAATTATCACAATTGATGGCACTTTGTGCTTGTTCCTGAGGATTCTGCTAAACAAGATAGTCTCAGTCTTCAAGAAGCTGTAGCTAAGTAGATAGAAATCTTTATAGTACATATAAAAGAAATAGAGACTAAGACTAATGTAGATCACCTGATACTTAAAAATAATTTTCATGATTGTAAAGTTTATTTTACCTTTGTAATATTGATACACTTGTAATATTTATAGTAATTTTAGTAAGAAGTCAATAGTGTATTTCTTTCACAGTTATTTCTGGCTATCAGCAAAAAAGAAGGAATAAAGGGAGATAGGAAAGAAGATTATAGAGGAAGATAGAAGTTGTTGCAGACTAAAAGTGGAAGATTAAAAAAAGATATATTTTGATGGAAAGTGTAGGTGCACTTCAGGAATCATTAGGACCTTCTGAGCCTTAAAATCAAGAGTTGAGTTAAAATCCATGTTGTTTGGAAAACTAGGCACAGAATAATAATGATAAATATAATGATAAAGCATTTAAAATTATTCATGATTGATAAGCCACTAGGGTCATAACCTTTTGAGTCATTCTGGCTTTTAAACAATTACAGAATATGAATTTGTTCAATAGTCAAATCCTTTTAGGAAAATAAAATGAATTCTTGGGCTGGGGATGTGGCTGTCCGGGTTCCATCCTCAGCACCACATACAAACAAAGATGTTGTGTCCGCCAAATGCTAAAAAATAAATATTAAAAAATTCTCTCTCTCTCTCTCTCTCTCTCTCTCTCTTTAAAAAAAAAAAAAATGAATTCTTGGTATTTTGTTTGTTTTAGTGTCTTTGCAAGACATAACAATGAGAAAAGCCTTCCGAAGTTCTACAATTCAAGATCAGCAGCTTTTCGACCGCAAGACTTTGCCTATTCCATTA